GGGGGGGGGGGGGGGGGGGGCGGCCAAACCGGGATCATACATAGGCGTCCTTCGCGTGGCAACCGATGCGAAGCTTCGCCAGTATGACGACTAATCCCTATGTCGCGGGCTGGATTTCAGAAGGGCGCCAAAAAACGCTCTCGCAACCCAAACACAGCACACAGCGCGCCAAGTTTGGCTTCCCAAAGTTGGCTTGCACTGCAACTCACTCATTGCAGCCAAAACCTGAAGCCCTCGCTTGTATTCCCGGACTAAATCACATCCGAAAGTAACCACAAGCCCTTTGAATAGCAGCACTGCCCAAAGCAGGGATGCACACACATTCATGTATTGATGACGGGTACGGTAGGGTCCCTGGTTGCGATGGCCCGGAAGACCCAGAGCATCACTTCGGAGACTGCCGAGAATCCCAAACCCCTGAAGTCCCAAAAACGCCCTTGTCGAAACTGTCACAAGCAATAAGCTGGTTGTCAAAAACACTTGCAGCACTTACGCCAAGGCAGTTCGCCTTATACAGAGCAACGAAGCCTGAACTGAAAGCAACTTGCCAAGCAAAGGCGTAGCATAACTAGCTGTGAATGCCCGTGATCCTGACAACTGGCCCGATGGAAGGATCGACAGAGGTATGATCTACCCGGTGGATCCCGGTGGGCCCTTGCGAAGACTTGCCAGCCCGAGACTCTACAAGCCTGGACACCCGGTTTCAATGTGGTAAAGATTGCGCATGTCATGTCCGAAATCCCATTGTAAACACGACGCCTCGAGTGAAACCCCTGTCAAGCCTTGAGCACACTAACAACGACGCCGTGTGATCGCTGACCGCACTAGGTCACTAGGCCCTGGCGGCGCCTGGACACGTGAAGCGGAAACCATGAGCAAGCCCGTCTCGTTGCCCCCACGGGGCAGCCACAGATTCTGCGTGTCTACTTCGATTCCTGGGCGAACAAGGCCAAACCCTGGCCTTGAACCTTACGGTGTAATTATGTGCTTTGACCTCAGCAGCTTCTTAAGGCTCAGGTTCAAAGTGCAAACATGAGGACACGACATAACAACATCCTGCGAAAACCTCCAGGTCGACCATCAAACATGACACATCATGGTCCTTACTTCCTCGTCGAGGGATGCCGGAATCTGGGGGCACCCGAGAGTGTGGAAGACAGAAGAAACTTGACCCATTTTTCGAAAGCTTGAGACGCAGAGACCAATTCTGAACCCAATCCAAGCATTTAACTCGGAAACCCACGACCGAGCAAAGGAAATCCGCCCTTTATATCGAATGCAAGCACACGACCCACTTCAGCATGCAAACTTACAAAGCGCTGAACCGCGCTCAAGCTGAGATCGGAAGCCGTCCGGTTACTATTGCTACCTGGCTAGTTGCATCATGATTGACAGTTTGACATTGTGTACCAAGCGAGCTGCGGTGCCGGTGAAAGCTAAGCCGGGCCGGATCTCGTTGCGTCACAAGGCAGAAATAAATTTTCAAGCCGACTAAAACCCTTAGTTGCTGAGTTCACAAGCCCC